TGAAAGCGCTCTTAAACAAGGATAAAGCCATCTGATGCAAGCGCAATCTGTAGTGTACGCGTCTATCGAGAAATAACGAGGTATTTATTTAGAAACATTATGCAAACTCGAAATTGATTACTTTGAGATAGTGCAATGTTGACTGAAATAACGAAATGCTGGATAAGGACTAACTCGTAACATAGACAAGAAACAGTGAAGGTGAGCAACTTCTCAATCAGAGTTACGAAACATATAGCCACCCTTGTAAGGGATCTAGACCGAGAATCACATGTCTGGGTGCAATGGTACATTAAATACAGTCTGGATCGCTGTGGATGAAGGGGGTGACAAGCGGGCTTCGCCAAATTTGTTTCCTACCGATTTTCGAAGAAAGCAAGCGACAAGACTGTATTATATCGTCGTAGCAGTCGTTTTCCATTAACTGTAATCGCTCATCACGACACGCCTCTTCATCCAAAGCGAAACAGACTATAGATGAGTACGGCTGAACTAGTTTAGGCGTAAATACTCAAGTTGTAGAATGAATTCACGTTAAAATTCTATGAACAGACATAAACATGAGGTACTTATTGCACAACAACAGAAATGGCCGTTCCAAGCTGTGTAGGGTAGGCCAATACAATAGATCTCTTTCTACAGCGATCCAAGAAGGATATACCATTATTTGGCTATCATAATCCGCAAATCAATAAATCAGAGAAGACGTAACAACCTGTGCTTATTGTTAGTAATCAAAAAAAAATCACACCTAAAAGTTGTCATTAGAGTTTTCTTTGAGTATACGCATAGCAGTTCCATTTGTGAGGTTTCCGACTGCTTCACCCAGTTTGAACAATTCGGTTTGAAGAGCATCCGTGACGAATTTCCTCCTCTTCAACACACTCCAGCCTTTCTTCTCTGATAACTCGTCCAAGAGCATCTTCGAGTCGAAGGGTTCACCAATATGAACGTCGACTTTCTAAGAGAATAGAAGGTTTTACTGCGAAAACTGCAGCTGCAAGGCATATTAACGCAACATACATGCCCAAAACGAGGATAGTAAGGCGGATGATTTGGCCAGACGCTAGACATGTTGGTACACCAGATAGGGAGAATCATTGGGGGAACGACAGCATCTTCAATCAAACGACCAACTCCCCACTTGAACCTTAAAAGGAATATGAACTGACATCATCCGTACAGAGTTTCGTTTACATTTATTCAATTAGGCGACCATTAAAGCAAAGAGCCAAAGATCTGGATGACTAGGGAGTCATGCGCTGTGTTGCGAACATTTTTCAGCTTCTTCCCTCTACGAATCCTCTCTTTTTTTAACTACATTTCTGAAGATTCCCCTGTGTTCCAGCTCAGCTCAACTTTTTGAGTCGCAAGACGCAACATGTAGAAATAACTTTTTACATTTATAAACGTGAGTAGAACAATAATTTTGATGCAGCTGAAAGTATCTCGTCTTTAAAAAGGTGCATTTGGATAGAGCCTTATAGAGCCTTTATTTTGGCAATGCAATCTGCAGCTACAAGAGAGGAAGCGAGACAAATTCGAGCACCCGTGCCACTTCTGCGGTAAACTGAGCAAAAGAAAGATTGCCGAATGAGAAATTCCGAGCAGTGCTATGTAATGAATCCCAGCTCTTCACGGTGATTCAGAGCAAGAACCATTCTATAAACTGAAAACCTTCCACGCTGACTACAGCGAGTTGTATAAGTAACGCCATTTTTGTAAGAATTATTGATTTTGGCTCGGAATCAAGGGAAGGCAAGTCTGATTCGTGAGATGGTTGCATTTCTGAATTGAGAGAACAGCCAAAACAGCCTCTTAAAATTAAGTGGTTCACACTTAGCGACGAGAAAATATGTGGATAGGAGAACGATTCGACGCCTTAGGAGAACATGCGATAAAGGAAACTACAGGTATTGATCTAGCGACTCGGGTGAACAAAAGGATTGGCGATTTGGATAATTCTTGAAGATATGCGCCACAAAGGATGGTGAAGGGGGTATCAACCAACTCCATTCGCTCGCGTTCTTGAGTGGGAATAAGGGTAATAGGGCTGATCTAGCGAGACGCCGCTTAGCTGGACCGTAGGTCGGAGCAGGGGATGGGTTGTATAGTTGCGTTGTGTGCGGTACATGCCTCCCAGCACATGGAAGTCCTTTTAATCTTGGTTGTCGGGTGTGGATCGTGAGTGGACTATCTAGGCTGATCGGAATAGTAGAACGTAAACACTTCTATGGAGTGAGGGAGTCTATGTAGCCGCAACTTGGTATTAGGGTAAATATCGTTTAGAAGAGTATGTCGATCGGATCGAATAGAATGTCTCTTCGCCTAAAAATCGGCCAATGTTTTCAGTGCAAAGTTGACACGCACCGCAGCGCAGCGTGGGAGTTTGTTTTTCCAAAGAGATATATTCAGAACTTCCCAACCTCTTAATAAAGTAAACTGCGTTCGCCGAGTTAAACAAGGAAAACTGAGAATGGGAACGCGACTGACCGGAGTGGCTCCATCGTCACACGACCTTCAGGAAACATGTGACCCAAGCCGTGGCGATGGTTTAATTTTTCCACACAGAAGTCCATGCCTTTCTGATACACCCCTTCTCCACGTACACAAGGAACACATCGACCAAGAGAGAAGAATCTAGAACGTAACGGCGAGCTGTACATGATTCAGCATAAAAAAGATATGCGGAAAGTTGTGTGACTAGTATGAGAGGCTGTGAGCATATGTTATGTGCAGCCAAGTGTGTAACGGTGACGTTGAATATTTCTGCACATTTCCCGTGTAGTTATAAAACCTCGATTTGAGTTGATAGAGTTCAATAGATACAATCAAAACAATATCGACAAAAATGGAGTTCATCAATATCAACTTACTCCACATGAGGGGATCGTCCATGTTACTTCTGTGATTAGAAATGGTGATCAAAGGCCGTGACTTATCCATCCAGATATTCATGAAGCGCTCTTTATTATGTACAACGAGTTCGTTAGCCACTAAAAATCAGGATTATCTCCTGTTTTCTCGAAGAGCGTTCTGGTTAGGGCTACGTTACCTCTTATGAAGAGCAGCTTTGACACTGTTGCTACGGATCCTAGTGTGAAATACGACATCATATTATAGAACGACGATGGTTGTTTAGGGAATGGCCATGGAAACCTGAATCCTTCCAAAGCAGCAGTTCTATCCACCTGAGTTCCGGTCCCTCTTCTTTGCAACCGCTGATGAAGACGTATCGCTCCTGCCCAAAACAAGCAATTGTGGTGATTAGAAATTCACTAAAGCTTTTATTTGACTCACTTTCTGTAAACAGAGAGCTTCCATATCCACGTAAAGAATGAGAACCTGATGGAACCTTCGCATCAAACAAGATCCTGAAAGAAGAAGGATCCGCTCCAAAAACTTCATCGAAATTTTTTTGATAACAACTTTTGAGTTTTGAAAAGTATCCACCTCTTGAAAAACGCATCTTTTTTTTGGTGTAAGCGTGCAACAGCGGAATTCCCGCCACGGATTTCGAGTTCGCTTCAGCTGCAGCAGGAGGGTCCCTCCACCACTGGCCCACATCTCCATCTAGAATATGTCGGAACGCTTTTAGTGCACCTCTCCCGCTTGTGGTGTAAGAAATGAACCAGAGAGGCTTTGTTGAACCACTCAATAGAAAGCGCCTGAGGGGAGATGGTATCGTGGCATGTGGCAGACTTAGGCCGCGTTTATAGCTTGCGACCGTGAAGAAATGCAGAAAGGCGGAAACTGCAGAAGTGCGGAACCTGCAGAAATGACGAAAAGCAACAGCTTCAGTTCGCTGCGGTTCGGTGGACGTGCCAGGCAGCATGAGTGTTCACACCGTCGAGAGCTTCCCTGCCTTCTAGCATGCGACAAGCAGTAGAGAGAGTTAGTAGTACGAACGATATGATACAGTCTTGTCATTTGCTCGCTTTAACAACTGTGGAGAACGGGTTTGGCACCGCGCCAAACTCATCCCGCCTGACACGCCCAACCGTCCGCAGCGAATTACACTATATGTACGCGGCCTTACGACGTCACATTATTCTAGCGAAAATTAAACTGTACCATATCGGGGGCAAATCTCCGATCGACTCCCGCCAAGGCCGACCATGCCTTCCACCCTCCGGGAACGGTGAATGGCACGTTTCGCCTGGAAGGATATGAAACTGAAATCTTGCAAATCGGCTGATGCCCGCAAGTCATTGTGCCACTGCAACCAGAGAGCCACTACAGCGCTGAATGGAAGTAAAAATCGTGCCTGTTACCAAAAAGGAACTGTTCAACGGCGAGGGCTTGATCCCCACTCCTATGGAAAGTGCCACGTAGTCGACTTCCATTCAGTGCGTCCCTTGTCTCTGTTTTATTTACCAGTTTTATTTACACTACAGTCGTACAGATTTGCCATAATTCCCTCCCGACACATTTGCGGACACTGCCGCTGCTCCTTGGGTGGAGCACAGTCGTGTGTAGGGTCTTAAAACACTTTAAACCGCTTGGCCTTCATCACCTTTCTTCCTTTTCTCTTCTTTTTCTTCCCTTCCTTCTCGAGGTATATGAGATCTTGCCACATGTCTCAATCGCATGTCGGCAAGATAGACGAAGGCCTGTGACAGGACTACTATCACTATATTGTACTCAATCATTTGTTTATTTATGGCCAGAGGTTTATTTCCATTTTTCCTTCCCATCCGACTTCATTCTTCTCCATCTTCTCCTTCGCAGCCTTCCATTCTCTTATTCTAAACAACACCAGACCACCTACACGTCTCTTGTGGTATTTTCCTCCCTTAATCTCGAAGATGCGATGAGGTAATACACTTGGACCCTTGCAGGGAGAGAACTTATGGTCGAGGCATATAATCCCCTTCCACTCCGCAGTATCATGGAACCCTCACGTCGCCCTGGAATAAATGCCCAACGTCGGACTTCAATATTAGTCCTAGTGATAGGAGAGTGAATCACCCCAGTTCCACACTTTACATATCCTACAGTTTATATATGTGCCTACCACAGGAAGAACCTTCAGTCCAGGCTGCTTCATCGAAAACAAGTATAAAACAATTATAAGAAATGAGACCTTTTGAAACTACAATCTGTAAGTAACTGGTGATGCGCAGGCACTACTAGATCGCCAAACCGAATGACGCTTTTCTCAGCTACTTTTACTCCAAATAGAACTGTGGACTGAGAATGTCAAGAGGGATAACATACCTGATGAAGTTCCTGGGAACTTGCAGGAGAGTATAATTCGACAACATCTGTTTGCTCATCGTCGGTCAGCGATTTCCACAAGAGAATATCCACTCACAGATTTGACCATTTGTACAGTTGACTCATATAATAAGCAAAACATCACGGAGAGCCACTGCAAAAATCGTCGACAGGTCCCAAGCTTCGTGCAGTTGCGTTACAGACTTGTCGTTGGGGCGCGCCAAACCAACTTAGCCCACCAGCTTTCAGGATACTTGTCAACAGCAAAGCATCCCTATCTTTTCCTTCTTCTTCCTTCCTTCTTTTGCGTTCCTTCTCTCTTCGCTCCTCCTTTTCTCCCTCTAAATGCTCGACCGATAGATGCGATGGAAATACTTCTGGGATGCGA